CCAAGTTAACATACTATTGACTAAGAAATTCTAATTTGTTTTGACGAATTGCTTGCTATGTCTAATGAGTCTGCTGAAAATATAATCCTTTGGTCCCGTGAACATCAATTTCGTTTTTAATTATTGCATTTAACGAGTCCATGACATTCTGCTTCCTATGAGTCTTTCCAATCTTCGTTTTTCCGTGAACCTGTTTCAATCTTTGTGGTAAGGATATCCTAACAGAATAATTAGCTATACTAAACCACAATTAATAATTAAACAATTCACTGACATATGAGAAAAAAATTCTAAGTTTTCTTGTATATCTTTGCATAACAATAAATCTCAAGTATTTTTATGCACATAGAAATGAAAAGMAAGCACGAAATAAAAGTATAACACTAATTCTACATTGATATAAAGTCGCCGTAACTTGAGCWTATCAATCTTACRCCATTTTAGCAATTTTTGCACTGACTCAAAATCTAAATGATTTTGGGTGGATTTTTAGTGACTTCGATCGACTTTGCGTCCCGGAGTAGCAACCGTAACTTCAATTTACATTTACATATCATAACTATTATGCTTTGCAAACATTCAATTATTCATACTATAGATRCAAGATACATGACATGATACAAATTTTCAATGAGGAATTACTTGAAATTTCTCGTAAAATCTATGTAAACAATATGGCGATTTCCCTTGTACGTCATTTCAAGATTTCAATACCTTGCAAATATACAACATTTTTGCACGAAAAACATAGGTTGATATTTCAAAATGTTTRAAAAAATTATATTTGTATATTCTAGTATTCTAGTAGCCAAAACATTTAACAATAATTGTTATTATTATGAACTACTATATATTTACCAGAAACCATAGTATGACTCCAGACAGGATGGCAGTTAGGATACAAGCCCCCAGCATCGGCAAAATATCGACCAGCGCMAGAAACTGCTTCATAACRCTTTCCATTCCYCCCTCMTSCTTYGAGATTTGCACCACAACAAGGCCAGAACTTTCATAAAGTCCAATAAAATGTCTATCAAACTGCTTTAACTCATCTTTGTTCGCAAACACGGGGAAAAAGATGTAAGTCTCCARTGGATTGCTTTGTCGTATCTTCAGCTCGATGTCATCAGAAGAATCRATGTTTTGAAGCATTTCGAAATCTATCTTTCCTCCGATGTGAGGGCAACATGCATTTGCAGCGATATTGACAGAATTTAAAAGCTCGCTGTCGTACGTATCATTCAGAAGATAAGGAGGTAAACTAATTCCTTTGAAGTCAAGAGAAGTGATACTTGGAGGACATCGTTGGCTGGAGTTGCCAATTGGAAATGTAGAAACAACYTCTCTGCAAAATATCGTTAAAATAAAARCAACTTTGAAAGAAGACGTAATGAGTTTATAAAGCATCGTTGTGAAGTTGGTTCCGCGAGGAARAATCCCTATTTCTCTGTGCTAAAGAACTTGAATAGTCTTAAGCCCCAAAGCAGATGGATTATAGCTGACTAGCTCAGCGGTGTAGGTCATAATTGCCTGAATCGATCATGAGTACAATTATGTATTCTTAATTTGAGCAGCTGAGTTCGATGAGAAAAAACGTCTATTACGTACACACATATTACATTTTGACATGGGAAATTAAAACGGCAAAATAAATAGACAGTTTATGACAAGACGAAACGAAACTTTGATAAGTGACTTCAAAGTTTTTCCCCAAAACAAATTGGCACAAAGGCGGACCTTAACTTTAGTTTGTCTAATTGATAGTCTATCACTCACATTGTGAATAAAAACAAAATACAAAAACAAAACGAAGAAATAACGAAGTAATTATATGTAACAGAGATCGTAAGTCCTCTAATACGCCGTTATTATATTATTCTCAATAGAAAAAGATTTCCTTGTAAAAAATAAATAAATAAATAATAAATAAAATAAAATAAGCATACCAACAAACTAAAATTTTTACACAGACTTAGTCTTTTTGTAATTTTAAATTTCCGGATAAATTAAAAAAATCATTTCTGACATTAAAATGGAATTTTTCAGAGTGTCAGTATTGATTATTATTCATGAAATATCAAGTAGAAGATATTCATGTATTTACACTGATGAATAACGTTTTTGAGACCAACTGTATAATAATGATGAAACTCTGGGAGATAATTAAAAATAGCGCCAGGAACTTTTACATTGAGCAATATTATAAAAGTAATTTCAAGAATGTAATTTCTTCAATTTGTGAACAAAGAAAAAAATGCCACCAAGAAACCCAAAGGTGCAATATCCCGAGAAATATTATATGATTTCTATTTCTAAGCATTAAGTTTCAGAGGAAAAAAAAAGTTCTGGGACTAAAAAAAGTCAGGCAGTCGAAAAATCTCAAAGTGCAGTGCTTGTGTATACAAACTCGAATAGTAATATTTCGATCTTTACTGCATTTCCCTTGTATGAATTAAAATTACGGTTATTCCGACGATTTTTCACAAAAAATCAACTACCTGACGTTTCGTTCTGGGACTAAACGTCAGGCTGACTAAAAAACGAGTTCACTTGTACCGCCGCCATTTTGAAAATGACATCGCGAATTGGATTATGGTTGCACTATACGGACCTTTGGCGCACATTTGGAGCAAAACTGAAACAAAATAACCAAGGCTGAGAATAGAACTTTTCATCGTTCATTTCAAGATTGCAAGTATAGTAAACATTACATAGCTAGATTCTTCAAAACATAATCACCGTCGCCAAAGCTCAGGGCGCGCTTTTCTTGTCAATTATAATCACACATGAGCTCACATTGTAAGAGCCAACTTTTACGAGCTGTCGGACGATTCTAGAAATAAAAAAGATAAAAAATCAAAAAAGCCTCACAGGATGATTCTATGAATAACGAAGTTATTAACCGTCCCATGGCCAGGTGACTGATATCAATCGGTAGAACTCCGAAAACCCAAGAAAAGAAAACAGGTTTTAATATCAACTTTCGCAAGCCCATAGCCAAATTATTTTGACTAAAACAAAAAAAAATATGTGTTTGAAAATTAAAGATTTATTTCTTTTTTAT